CTGGCTAGTTTTTTAAGTGGGTGTTGAATGTCAGACTGTCTGTTTCAGAGAGTTTGAGAAACTGTCGATTTCACTTCCTGCGATGACAGGTGAAAATGTCTTCTGTGAAAAATGTGTCTATACTGGCGCTCTAAGTGCAGCCTCGCAGAGCATGGCTGCAGTCTCAGTCTTGTTTACTTATATTTACCCTGTGCTCCTTTGTCTGGCTCAGGAGTTACTGTGTCTCATTCTGAAAGAGATGTCACAGTGAGGTGAAACTGTTTGTGAAATACCCGCCCACCTGAGATGACTGCTGTTCATCGCTGATAACTGTGTTCAATGTCATTAAGAAAATTCTTTCTATTTCCTGCCCTCTGCATCCAATCGTAGCTTGAATCCATGAGTATTTTTTAGTCCCTGTAAGGCAAAGACTGAGCCTGGAGTCAGCAGGCAAATGTAATAAGAGCTTTTAACATATTACATTGCCAGCACTCATGTTACACTTATCAGTAATATTTTAAATGAGGGTAGATTTGGCATAATGGCAGGAAGGCTCATAAAGGCGAGCCGGTCCCCTGTGATTGTAATCTAGGAGAGAGTTCCTGTAAAATTAAACCATGGTTGTGGGGGGAGAGAAAACATGCCTCTGGTTTCTTTGAAGTGGAGAATCAGCGTCCAAAAAAAAGAATAAAAGATGACAAAATGTCAGTGTGAGGCTGATGGTCTATAGACAGAACTTACGTGCCCAGACAGCAATTACTGAGATACATAGCATAGATCCAGACATTGTGTTTGATCTCAGTGCTTCGTTCTCTTGCACGGACGATGTTTTTCCACAGTCAAACTGTGCAGGGTTCTCATTTTTATGTGCATGTTCGTCTCTGTCAGCGTTTCATTTGAATTAAAAATAATGTGCAGAGAGAGATCCGGACGCTGATTGTTTGGCGGTGTGGCTGTAATCACAGACTTGTGGTCGCTCTCAAATCTGATAATGACCGTTTAAAATGGAGAACAGCGACTCGCTCGTTGCTGCTGCCGCTGCTGCTGCTGCACAGGCCTGTGAAAATGACTGGTAGCCATTTTATGTTGGTGGCAGTCGCATAAATACATATCTTGAAGCCAGCCATGTCATGCGTTTGAAGCCAAACCACGATATGCTCTTGATGTTTCATCACAATCACCGCTTCAAACATAGGAATCCTTGTGATCTAATTACATGTAACCACAGTTAGTACATTTGCAACTAATTTTAGACATGATTTACTATTTCTGTTCCACATAGAATGAACCGTGGCGTTGTACAGCTGAATAATTTCTCTGTAGTTATCAAAGATGTTTTCCCACAGCCTGAGAGCAACAGTAAGCCAGAGGTTAATTATTTCATTAGGTGAAGTGGTTCAGTGCACAATGCATACGTCTCTGAAACACACAAGGATGCATAGCAGGAGCCTCTAACTTGATGAACACATGGCCATGTAGGCTGCTCTTTCTCCCAGGCCCTTTGTGACCACAGCTTTTATCCACTGAACCAAGTGGCTGGACTTTAACCGGCCACCTGAGGCCAGTCCTTCCCACCCCCTGATGGTACTTCACATTCTTTGTTGTGTATGTCATCAGTGTGTCTACGGACAGCTTTGCGGAGTACATGGATGAATCGTAAACTTCTCACTTTAACCAGACTGAGCATCTGACTGCGGTTTGGAGAAAAGTGCTGTTGTGTCAACTCCTAATGTGTGAGGATTTGTTTTGCCACTCTGAGTCTCAGGCAACGGTATATCCCATTTCCCATGACTTCATGTTTGTATGGCCGGTCCCAGCCAGCCAACAGACCCTCGGTCGCTCTGTTACCGAGGGACGGATTAGCATCTCAGCTATGAGCTAAGTCTGTTTTCTGCTCTGTGGTTGCTTGGGCTGAGCTGGCAAGGAAATACCTTGCAATGTGACTCTATTGTACATCCATTGACCTCCCAGCCAGTGGGTTAATGCTCATTAGACAAGCTATAGAATGCAAGGGTTTGCACTATTAAGAGGATTCTCCAGGAATGTCCAGCATTAGATCAGGATTTGCAAAATGTGAGGGATCAAGGTGAGGAAAGATGAGCGCTGTTGCTTCTCAGGTAAACATTACTTTCAGGCCTGCAGTGTGAATCTTGACAGGATGGTGTCCCACCTTAAATCTGTGTGATTCCTTCTAAATACACGCTCTGTGGCATCAACGCCGGGAAACGACTGGAGGGTGGAGCAAGAGGCTGAGCCCTGCCAGCTCCAGCAGGGTTGTTCTGTTGTGACCCTGGGCAGGCAAGCTAAGAAAAAAAAACCCTCTAGGGCTTGGTAAAGTTATCACATAATTATAAACTTGGTAGTCATGATTTATGTCTGCAGTGTCAGGGGTGGAAGCTCCTTGGGTTTTAGGTTTGTCAGGGTTGGCCATGGAGAGCTCAGAGCTCAAATTGAAGGCTGCATGACCCTAAGTGCTTTTTATATTACCAGCTGACCTCCCTCCAGGCCAGCGGAGTGGGAGTTGATCCAGCAGGAAGACAGCGCCTGTGGGCTGCTAGGTGGTGCATGCTGTTTGTAAAGGAGCGTTTTGTTTTTCCTCCCCTCACGGTAGCAGCATCCTACTGGGGAATTCATTAGCGGCTGACATCACCTCACTCAGTACAGAGTGAAAGAAAGAATATCTTTCTGCCTCTGCTCTCCCCTCCCTCCTTCCTTTCCCTTCTTCCCTCTTGTTCTCTCTCTCTCTCTCTCTCTCTCTGCCTCCTTATCTAGCTCTGGTGCGCTGCTGTCTCTCCTTTTGCGCGCCATTTACGCAAAAGACAAACGCGCTGATGTGCGCCTCTGTGACCTCAAAGCTTTTCGGAGGCGCAAAAAACACGAGTGTTTGTCTTGTGAAGGAGCACGACTGAGGCTGAATCCAAGTCCGCCTGGAAATCAGGAAGTGGGAGGACCCGACCGTGAAGGCAGCAGCAGCGGCAGCAGCACTCAGGCAGTCAGTCGCTGGATGAATGGGAGTTTGTCTGCTGCTTGGGAGCGGATGGGGAGAGGCTCTTGTGTGCCCACGACCGGGATCCGTCAGAGAGAGAGAGAGAGAACTGCAGACTGGCTTTGCAGCTGAACACGCGGCGACAGCGGGCTTACACCTTGTGAATTTTTGCTCACCGCTTGTGTGATCTGCCTCCGTCTCTGTGTCTTCAGAGGAAACTGGCCGTGCGCTTTGTTGGATTGGTTTGCTCCGTCGGACGCAGCCCCTCTCTGCGCACCCACACACAAACCCTCCCGGATCCTGTTTGTTTCCTCTCACGGATATTTCCGACAGGAGAATATAGGTGAAAAAACCACACTGTGTCCTGAGCGAAGGAAGAAAGGTGGACCAAGGGATTTTTTCCGCTCGTCGCCTCAGTGCGGTTGCAGAAGCTCTCCGTGGCGAGACACATGGTTCCCTTTGTCCAAAAGGCGCAGTAGCTTTGTGAACGGCTTTGGATTTTTTTTTTTTCTTGGAAAGGCTTCTTCTCTCTCCGCATGGCTGTCCTCAATTTAAAAGGAGTAGACTTCGCCGCCTCTTGTGTGGATTATATTATTTGAAAAGCAGAATGTGAAACGAGGCCATATTTACCAGACCGAGAAAGTAATATCCTGACTTATTTGCTAACCTTGCCACATCAAAGGTATGCGCTGCCTCTGAGCCGCTTCTAATCTCAGATTTATTTATCACTGTGTGTCAGAGCCCGCAAAATGGTCTGAGAGGGGTTTTATCACAGTAACCATTGTCATGCCGCCTCTCCTGCTGTCATCTACTCTGCGGCTTTCATTGTTTACATTTGTCAGTGTTGTACTAGACAATTAATAGATGATCCATTACAGTGTGTTTTTTTTGTTTGTTTTTTTTAACAAAAATTAAGTCCTAATGGAGGCTGGTTGTTGATCCGCACTGTTCTGTTTTGTTTCTGTGATTACAACACTTGGCTTCTCCTGCAGACATGATAAAAAAGACATGAGTGTGCATATAACTGAGCTGTCACTGCACGCAGATTTAGAATATTACGGTCATTAGCGTTATATAGGCTAAATCACAAGAAAACACCCCCCCATACACACACACACACACACTCACACACACACACACACACACACCCCTGCCCAAGTGCAATGCCTTAACATGATATTTGCTACAGAATTTAGCATCATATAAATCATGAGGCCAGAGAATCCACAAAGCCACTTATCAGAAATTCATTTTATTCAGAGGAACCTGTCTGTCTTCCTCCCATGTGCGTGAGCTTTACGGGTGTTGTCCTGTTTCTTTCCTGTCCGAGCAACCTGTAGTTATTTGTAATATGAAAATATTTCCCCTAAACCTCGTGATTGAAAGATGATTTATCTTTGACTTAGTTTTTTTTTTTTATATATATAAACTTTCTTCCATCTATATAAGCGTTTTGTTATTTGACTAATTCAGGTTTTAATTCCATCCCTGCACATTTTATTCTAACGCGGTGATACTGTTGGTGCTCTGCTAGGAGAAGGGACGGAGCGGCTTTATCACGGAGCAACAGTGCCATCAAGTGGCGCGAATATGAAGAGCCACTTGTTTTGTTTGAGTCTAGATATGCAGTGTTGCTTCTGATCGTGGTGCTCAGGTTACCTAAATAATTACAGACATAATTTGGACATGACAGGTGCAGGGGAAGCAGCTAAATGGGATTAAATTTGATCTTGAAGTTTGTCTTTGTAAAACAGAGAGCATCTGTCAAGTACACATTGTCAGAGACACATCCCATAATCACATCTAATAAACCTCACTCGGATAAATTCAGGAGTAGGATTTACACTGAAATGACAATTTGGTGACTTAAGCCTAATGATCATTAACCATAACCCAGTGATGTCCTCTCAGTCAGAAGTTATTACCCTGAAATGTTCCGAGAAATGTTATCTGTGGGTGTGTTTGGACATTTTGGAGGGAAATGGTTCTGCAGTTTTATGTGACATTTTGCTGATTCCATTTTCCTCTTTTCCAGGTCTCCGATGCCGGCTCTGAGAAGTTTTTCAGCACAGCTGCAGTTAAAGGTACAGACATTACGTTTATATTTTTCACCGTGCTGTAGTGATGACAGAATGATGGTGCAGGTGTATTTCCATCCTCCTGTGTTATCACCATGTTGAAATTGGTATGCATTGTCCCAGTGCAGTGATAGTTGTGTTTGTGTATGATCGTTTAAAATAATGCATCAATAACTAGGCATCGCATCTATGCACCTGATCCAATTTACCCAAGATGCACAGGTATGAAGTACCACTCAGCTGTTATTCAACACCAAGGCATAAAATAACAATCTCACTCTGCCTGTAGTCATCAGATGGAATCACTAAAATATTAACCATCATGCTTCATGTGGGCCTGTGTTTTTGCATGTGTGGAACATGTGACATGAAATGGTGTGGAACCAATGTGGCATTTGTTGCAAATGTGCTGAAATGCGCGAGGACTTGCACTGCGGCCAGAGGAGGAGCAGGATGTAATAATGCTGCGGGGAATGAAGTGAGGGCAGGAAAAGCATCTTGCTACGGCCTCTGTGTGCCAACACCACATGTGACCTCATTATTAAGTCACTAATTTGCTGTTAAAAGCAGCCCCATTTTCTGTGGCTCAGGGATAATGGAGGTGCCCCGCGTGAATGGACATTCCTCTGTAATGGGGGGAGTTACCATGCAGGGCCGCGGGGAGGCTCGGAGATGAGGGTTATGACCCCTTCAGGGCCAAGGCTGAAATGGGGCCAACTGCTGATGATAGGTCCTTGTACCTCCCATCGTTTCTCTGCACTTCCCTCTGAGCAGACCTCCAAACACATTTCCCACATTCTGGCCTTTGATTCCCTCCAGGGCTTGATTTGTGGCATCCATTGGTGGTGGTGGGGGGGGGGGGCTCAATGGCCATGCTTGACAGGGAGGTTTCCTTTTGAACGTGCTTCTCTGTGGACTTATTTGGTTCCCTTGAAAGGATTAAGCCCCCCTTTGTGCAGCCTAAATCAACAGAAGGCCACCCTCTCTCCCCCTCTATGAAAGGAGACCTGACTGGGGAAACAGTACACAAAATACGCTTTCTCTCTGCTGCATGATAGTCCACTCTCTTGGCCTCTATTTCCATTTAAATATCCCCTCTTTTCTTCCCTTTTACCATCTCTGTCCCCTCCTCTTCTCCTGCCATATGCTAATGCTAATGCCTGCCTGCCTATTGGAAAAGGCGAGTCAAAGAATCCAGGTGCAGGGAGAGCAAGGACCACTGGTATTTTTATGGAGGGTGGTGTTGAGATTAAAGAGTCAGGTGGGTTTTTGTTGGAGGGGATTACCAGCACTCTAATGCAACCAAACCTCAGGACGGGCAACAGCTCCAACAAAAACAGGGAGAGCGACTCATTTGTGGGACGACGAGTGTCAATATTTGCTCAGAGGCAGGTGCAAAAAGTCTGTTTGTTTGACCGTTTGTGCACTTTCTTGTTGGTACACAGAAAATGCTTATTGGGCTTCAGGGTTCAGAACGCGCCTTGAAAAAGTCATGACACACCATGATAGCAAAAACCGTTTAATATTGTATTGTTTTTTAATTGTAACTTATTGTATTGACTTCTGCAATGAAGGAATGGTTATGGCTGAAACTATAATGTTGTTGCTGCAGTTGAGTCATTAGTCTGCAAGTGTTGAAATCTATAGACAGTCATCTGGGAATATTTACAGTGGAGAAAAATATAAACATTGCTGGACAATAGACTTTGGTGAATAAATCAGGCTTTAAATAATTGATAGTAGCAGAAAAATAAAGCAAATAGCTTGACATGTCTATGACAGAATGTGTATTATTCATGGTGGATGAGCCAAAAGCTCATTTCAGACTCAGTCATAATAGTATTAATAATAATGGCACTGAGTGGAACAAAGGTAAGATGCCCTGAACATACGTTGAAACAACAGAGAGAAGAGAAGGCCATTGTAATTCAGCTGCTGATGTGCAGCTTTGTTAATGACTGACTGTTGGCTTTTTTCTCTGAAGCAAGAGTGGAAATTAGCCCAGGGCAACCTCAGATCTCTTTGAAGACTTAGTGCTGGTCCCTCATCTTTTAATCTCACAGCTTTCTCACCTACTCAATAATTACTGTATTACTTTGTATTTTTCATGCAAACTCAAAAGCCACAGTGTTTTGTTTTTTTCCACCCAAGGCCTACACTGCATTTTAAAGAGAAACTCCGACTGATGTGAATGCAGCTTTTGTCTTTCCTGACGTTGATTTGTTTTCTTCCCCTCTCGTGTCGGCGTCACCTCAGGGCCGTCTGTGTCAACTCTGCATAGTTGTCTAATGTGGAGCTTTAAGTCACTATCACTCTTCTGCTTCCCCCTCTGTTTTTCTCCCTCACTCCAGCTCACTCTAGGTTCAGTTTGCCCAGGAATGGATTTCATTAACTAAGAGTCATTAAATGTTAGCTCTAATTACTGCAGTTGTCGATGCGCCTGCAGGTGTCAGTGAGAGCTCTCCTGATTCATCTGCTCTGCAAGAGAGCGAGCACCGGGCAAAAAGCTGTGGTAGTCTATTGGCCACCAGTCAACAACTTTACTAACATCGAAGCTGCTTTCAAGGTGCTGTGGGTAGAAATCAGTAACCAAGCCTTATTAAGGCTGTGACCGCTGTCCAGGGATCCACCGGGTTGATACAGATGCTTATAAAGCCACAGCAGCAGCGCATGTCACCACAAAGCCCCACAGACAGATCTATCAAATGATTAAAGCTGTGTCCCGGGGCAGTAATATCTTGTCACCCAGTTACATTCCCATCCTTCATGATATTGTCAGTCCACAAGCCGTCCTGAAGACTCAGCTAAGTCATTGGAGGGCAGAGACTAAGCTCACTGTGCATTGTTTGTTGAGCGTAGCCCCAGCAGTGAGATTAAGATAATGCTGGCTGACATTTAAAAAGCTCCGCAGTGCCATTTATCAAGAGCAGACATGAAAATGTTTTCATCAGTGAACTGCTGAGTCTGGTGCAGATGGAATCTGTTTAGAATAGTAAGTAATGACAGACGAGTCTTTAATTGGCTTTTACCTGCGTATATATCATCAAAGTCGCATTTAAACTGTGGTCACAATTAGAAATAACTTTGTTGTATGATTTTCTGTTCGAGGGTGTAGAGAAAATGTACTCGAGATTTTTTCAAAGAATTCATCTGCTAGATATATCGAAGAAGCCAGTCCCTGGTGAGACATCTCCTGCAGCTGTGTCTACGATGTGAGAGCGAGTTCAGTGCGGGGGTGAATTGAAGTGCACAGTGTAGTGATTCTCAGTTTCCCCCCTCAGCACAACGCTGATTTCACCATGCTTTACTGGAGTTAATGTGAAAATGAAGCGGTGCTACAGCGAGACCCGGGGCTGACGCCAGCGTGAAGAGCGCCGCTGGTGAAGTGTGTCGGGCTTGAGTGCGTCTGTCACCGAGGGAGAGAATACAGTGCGATGTGGAAGGTGTAATTTGCAGCACTGATGACATTGTTTAAAAAAATAGTGGAAAGAGAAAAGCGGAGGTGAACTTTTGTGGCAGATATCAGAGCTGAAGAGCTCCCTGGATTGTCATAGAGAGCTCTGCTGGCAGCAAAATTGCCTGTGAGCGTATTACTGCTGTGTGGGAGGGAGCGGAGGGCTTGTTTTTCTCTCTCTCATTCTCTCCCGCTTTCCTGAGGAGGACTGGTGTTGGAGCTGTGTGTACTTGCAGGCTGTGGGCCGCCACCTGCTGTAATCTCAAGTGATATAGAGAGCAACAATCACGCCACAAATCACCCAGGCAGCTCCCTAACTCATTCAGTGGACTGGAAAGAGAAGGTTGGCCTTTCACAGCACCAGTGTTGGTTTACTGCCCCGGGCTCCCTGCACTGCCCTCGTGCTGACCTCTGCCGTCTGTGTGGGTTTGTGCGTCAAGAAATCAGGGCTGCCTGTGGAACTTGACCTGATGTGCAGTGGAAAGATGACCCCACCACCATTGGCCTTTTGTGCGTTCTGAGGAACGGCTGCAGTCAAGGACGGTCTCTTTCTCCCTGCCTGGGGCTGGGAGGTCACTGAGAGGTCAGGGCCCCCTCCCCCCCAGATATAACTGCTGGAATAAAGCATTGTTGTTGTTTTGGCTCAAACACAAGCTTAAAACTAATCAAAATGCCCTTCTGGTATTTAATAAGTGAGCATGTTTGTAGAAATAAGAGAGAGCTGAAGGATTTAACTCTGAATGATACATCACTGAGGCAGATTCCAGGCGTTTCCCCCGTGTCTTTGCTTCTGGTGGTTATTCATCCCCCGCTAGGAGCATTTAATGTATCTCTAAGGGGTAAAGGAAGCTCAATATCCTGTGCAGCACAGAGGGAAGCCCTCCCCCCTTTCCTCTCCATGGCTGCAACTACAGAGAGAGAGGCTGTATTTCATGACCATGAAAGGGGCCGCTCCAGCCATGCCTCTTCTGCTGACACAGCCAAACAAAGGTTAACAAATCAAGGGGAGCACTGGCTGATTTACTGTCTCACTGTTGCAAACAATTGTCCGGCCCCCGATGTCAACAGCTCCCATATACTTAGTCAGTCTGTGGGCAGTGAAATATGGCAGCATTTCCAGCTGTGCATTTCTCAAAATCGCATTTAAATGTTTGTATCGATCACAGCTCATTAGTCCTGATCTCTGCTGCAGGGGAATGCTCTTCCAGAATTCTTAGTTTGGTTTTAAATCAGATCTACTTCAGCCTTTTGACGAGGGTCTTCATTTTTAACGTGTGCACATTTTTTTCTATGAGGTCTTCTGTCAGGTCTGAGAGCAAAAGTTTGATGGAAAATGTTTGGTTTACTCAATGCAATCATTATTCAGAATCATGAATAACACAACATCCATTCAAAACGGACACAGTACACTATACATTCTCATTAATATCTGTCTGTTTGCCTTTTATCTCACTCACAGTCACCTGCTAAAGTCTTAACATAAGCAATCAGGTCTGATGATGGAATTTCTGGCAGGTAACCGAGTCAGGTAAATACTGTATGTGAGTCTAGT